TCAATGAATTCTGTACTAAATCTGGAGGCACCTTAGCAATGGGCGGAGGAAAGCGGCACATAACCACCAAACACCCATAACTTAAAAACACATACACCTGCTGATTCGTTGAACCCATGCTGGAACTATTTACAGATTTCTAGCTTTCATTCAAATAAAGCACCATTACCATTTGAAACATAACCATGGCGAAAGCAAGAGGATTCCAACTTAACTTGTAGAAAAATTGCAGTACAACTGCGCTGTTCTATGATTAATTAGTAGCAAAGGGAAGAAATCTGTTCAGTGGAATTCTCATCTACTAATCACTTTAGAAGACAATAATTCAACAACGCTCAGATGTTTGGACACACACGCTCCCATACACCAGGATTGTGTATCTCCAGGTTCACAGATACTTCTGATGTATTATATTAAACTTACTAACACTGGGAGTATTAGTAATCGCAAAATATATACCATCGACGGTGATACAGAATAACAAAATAGTACAAAGATACCAAAAGGTGAAGCTGCTGCAGTCCATGGACAAACAAGAAGAAAGGCCAGAGATTGAAATGAAAAACCAATACCAATTTATAAAAATAAAATATTCAGACTATTTTACAGGAAGGACGAATTAAAATGTTTAGCCCAGAAATTTAAGACCAATACGACATCGCGCATGTTGGGCCAATTACTACCGTCCAGACAGTTTTCTGTCTGTGCACCCGCCGTCACTCCTTTTCATTATTCTGGCAAGGAATTGTGATATCCATATTAAAGAATGAACTTAGGCATCTTCACCTTTTTATTGTCTGCCTTTGCTGCATCGGCAACTTCTTCCGATAACGCCGTTTCCTTTAAGGATGCATCCGCTTACCCAGAATTCAACTTTCCTAAGGTGGAACTTCACCTACACTTCGGTGGTGCTATTCGCCCTGAAACTGCTTTCTACTGGGCTCAGAGGAGGAACATCGACCTAGGTTGCAATAATGTTGAGGAGTTGGAAAAGAAAATGACAGGAAAGGTGAAGAGCCAATCAGAGTTCATCACTTTGTACGACCGTATTGTTGCCAGTGTTGCTGGTGACAAGGAAGCCCTTAAGCAGGTTGCATACGAAATTGTTGAGACAAAGGCTAAGGAAGGTGCTGTATACATTGAGGTACGCTTCAGCCCTCACTTGTACTCTACCAAGAACATCGACCAAAGGACATGGGAGCAGGCTTTGGGTGACATTCCCCCTGAGGAAGGAGCTGAACCCTACGAGGTTGATCCTGAGCGGGAGCACATGTCCATGAACATTCCTAAGGACAACCCCATTACCCCCGATGAAGCTATAATTGCCATTACCGAAGGTCTTGCTGCTGGTGAGCGTGATTTCGGTTGCAAGGCTCGCTCTCTTCTCTGCTGCATTAGACCACACCCCGTCTGGTCATACGAGGTCGTTCAGTTTGCCAAGAAGTACCGTCATCTCGGTATTGTAGGTATTGATTTGGCAGCGGTTGAGAGAGAAGGCAGTACCGTGTACTGGGGGCACGTTAAGGCATACCAGGAGGCTGAGAGGGCCGGAATCTACCGTACCGTTCACGCTGCCGAGTGTGGTAGTGCAGAGAACCTGCGCCAGGCCTTGCAGGTACTGAAGGCCAACCGTATTGGTCACGGTTACAACGTCGTCACTGATGAGGCCTTGTACAAATTGTGCTTGGACCGCCAGGTACACTTCGAGGTTTGCCCTCAGGTTTGCCGCCGCATTGCCTCCAGGGCCGTTGAAAACCGCCACATTGAGTTCACCGTTAAGCGTTTCTTCGAGGATGGTGCAAACTTCGGTTTGAACACTGACGATCCCACATTCCATAAGACGAACCTATTCAGCGTCTACCAGCAGGCCATTGACCAGGGTCTTACCGTTACCGATTTGAAGAGGTTGAATTTGAACGCGGCAGCAGCTTCTTTCTTGCCAGATGACGAGAAGGCACAGTTGATTAGGGAACTCAAGGAGGCCTACGGCATGATATAAATGCGCTTAGTTTAGGTTGACGTCGTTTTCCATTTTGGTCACTGCGTTAGGAATGCGTGATACCTTTGGAAAAGCGAATTAACCCTTTATTTTCCATGTTTTAACGTCTCATTTCCTTTTTAGAAACTAATATTAATGTAATTTATATGATTTAAGCTCATTGTTGCAGTACGCCTTGCATATAAGATAACCTTCTGTGTTCCTTTCAACTTCTCTTACTTGCTTCGGGTCACATATAGGCACTAGTTTTCTGGGTGCAAGGATTTTAACGCCAGATACATATGCTTCATGATTCGTCGGATGTAATCCTTCATCATAAAAACGCATGGTATAATTCAATAATGAAACTAGCTGTACTAATTGTGTGTATTATTTTTAAAAGGAATTTCATTTCAATCCTTCCTTAAGTATGAATAACAGGAGTTGGGATCTTCTGTAATTTTCGGGGGGAATTCAGGAACTTGTCTCCTCAAGTTTATCAGACAGGAAAATTTTCAGATCTCACTGGGGGGGTACATTGACGGTCAAACATGTGGAATTAGAGCGGCTTATGCCACCATTTTCGTTCGTGCCTCCTGCTGGTGGCTGCAGGTTAGACACCTGCACACACACTGGCGCGAGTTCTACCGAACTCGGCACTGCGTGGCTGCTTGCGGCAGGCGGCCTATTGGCCTTTTTGCCCGCCTTTTTGGGCTTAGAGGTGTTACCCTTTTTACCCTGGGGACCGCCGTTTCGCGCCTTTTTAGGGGCGCCCTGCACAGCAGGAGTGGTTCCAGGCTGGCGACTTATCTGGCCCTGATGCGGACTGAGGCGGCTTTCGCCACCACGGCCGGCCCCCTGCAATTTGCGGGTTTATTTTTTGGTGCCTTTCCACCGCTTTGTACCGGCCTGCTGGAATCTTGTCTCCGTTCGGTCGGCCGATTCTCTCGGCGCCCCACGGGGACATGCGGAGCGTCGATAACGCGGAGGTTTCCGGCTAGATCGACCCGAACACTCAGCTGCACTTCGTGTGATCTTTCCATTGGTGCGCTGGTTGTCTAGACAATGGCACTGTGACAGCGGAACGCCTCGCCATGCTGCCGCTCTAATTCCACATGTTTGACCGTCAATATACCCCCCAGTGAGATCTGAAAATTTTCCTGTCTGATAAACTTGAGAAAACAAGTTCCTGCATTCCCCCAAAATCATTGAAGATTCCAACTCTGTAAGGTGACTCGTGTTTTTTGCAGTAAACCTTGCAAAAAATTGTCTGTCCTTTGTTGATAAGAATTACACAATCTGTATTATTCGCATTAGCTGTTTCTCACCTTTTAAGTTTTAATTTGAAAATGGTCGCACTTAAGCTCATCAACCTTTTCAGCGTTCTTGTTGCCTCTTTAGCATTCGCTTCTGAGGACAACACGGGAAATGATATCATCCAGCAGGGTCCCAGCCGTCTTTTGTTCGCTGGTAACCCTATCATTGATATCTACTGCCGTGTCAACCAGGACGTAATTGATGAGTTGGGTTTCCGCAAGGCTGAATCGAACCGCATCTCCCCTGAAGTTTTCAAGATGCTTGGTGAGAGGCTCAAGGTTGACTCCAAGAATGCAGGTGGTTCCAGTGCCAACACTGCACGTTCCTACGCCTTCGTCGGCGGTGACGCTACCTTCTTCGGTCTTGTTGGTGATGATGACCTTGCTGACACGTTCGAGAAGTGCATGATTGACTACGGTGTTAAGCCCAACATTCACCGCAAGGCTGGCGAGTTCACCAGCCAGGTTTACTCCCTGGTTACCCCAAATGCCGAGCGCAACATGTACCTTCTCTTCGGTGCTTCTCGCCTCCTCAACCCTGAATGCCTCCCTGGCTCCATTATGGATGACTTTGACTACTACGTCGTCAACGGATTTATCTTCGGAAGCCCTAGCATTGCTGCCTTCAGTCATAAGATGATTGACGAGACCCTCAGGCGTGGCAAGAAGTTGATTACCCTCTTGGCAAACATGGTCTGCATCAGACGCTTCAGCAACTACTTGAGGCCCATTGTTGAGAAGTCTGACATCATTGCTGGTAACATTGACGAGTTCACTGGTCTTTACCAGATCAAGGAAAGGGAAGAGCTTTTCAAGCACTTCGAGAACCTTACCTCTGGTGACAAGCCCAAGCACACCGCTGTCATTATTACAATGAGTGAGGAAGGTGCCTACATCATCGCCCGCGGCAAGCGCTGCTTCATCCCCCCTTCCGGTGTTGAGGCTATCGACACCACTGGTGCCGGTGACTTCTTCGCTGGAGCTGCCATCTACGGTCTCCTTCACGGTTACACCGTCAGGCAATCTGGTGAATTGGCTGTCGCTATGGCCGGTGACATCATTGGCCACATGGGTACCTTGGTCACTGACGGTCTCCGCAACAAGATTGACGCCATTAAGGCCATTGCCAAGAGCTCCTAAGGGGATACACTATACATGAAAAAATTACCAGCCTTCTTCTAAGCTTGCTTTCTATAAAAAAGAGTCCAATTAACATAACTTTAATGGGTGTTTTGATTTGAATCATTTTCACATTTTGTGGAGGTGCTTTTGTAGATTCATCACGTAGAGCATAACTGCCTATAAGCTTTTGCTCTTTCCATGCGCTATATCATTGTAATTTCCTTTGTATTTGTTATATAAGCCGGGTATTATGTGTGGTGACACGTCAATTATTGTTGTGGTTTTGTTTAGTGTGCTATGTGGATACGTGGGCTTGGACCGTTTTTCGCATTTTCCAGGCTAGCGCCTCACGCCGCTGCGGCATGTTGCTGGTTATTAAAGGCGATTCAAGACGACGATGATAAGCAGATGAGGCTGGGGAAAGAGACGATGAGAGTGTAGACGCAATACTACGAAGCGGTCAATGAGGGATTAGTGGAGAGAGCAAGAGAAGCGGATGTATAATCGCCAAGCCTGCTTCATTGTAAGACGTGCGCGATGCCATCCGTGTTTGTATATAGTTAAGGATTTCTGGCGCTCCAGTCCCTAGGCCCGGTACCATCGCAATAAACGGCACTATAGCATTTTAACCGTATTAGAATTACACGAACAGTTTTAGGTTTTATGCATGACGTATAAAGCAAGATTATATATGCTTTGTTGTTTTGCATTGTATTTCTAATTTGCACTAACGCTGCCAAAGCTTCCATCCACCCGGAGCCACCCTGGCGTGGTAACCTGAGTAATGCTGAAACGCATTTCATGCATAACCATACAGTGTTTTTGGACGCCATACATGGCTTCTCTAAAGCATAAAAGGTGCAGAATAAGGCACCCAACGAGGTGTATTGTGTACCGTTCAGTTGCACTGCAAACACGTCGCCGAGTGAGGGGATGAATAAGGTGGCGCAGGTTCAACCAGGTACAAAGCTAAGTGAAACACTTTACGCTACGATTAGTTGAGTGAGAGTGTACGCTGTCGATCGTTCAAGACCGTGTCCCCTTGCTAACAGTGGCATGGTAATCGATTGAACGTTGCCAAGTTGTCGAACAAAAAATGTTGCAAAGCATTAGGTGAACTTATTAAACACGTTATAGATATGCCATGAGCAGTCGACTGTATCACAACTATGAATGATGGAGACTGTGAATCTATCTCCAGTAAGCTGGCTGATAGGGATGGATCAGCCCAGACCCTCGTGTGCAAGGCCACAACGCCGTCCATTGCACCCAGCGGCTCATACGTCGAGCATGGAAACAACTTGGAAATGCATGCTGGAGTAGCATCAAAAGCCGCAGGAACTTTTCAGCCGCATGCGTACGTTCATCTAAAGGGAAGTGAATGAGGCGCTGTGTGACTACGTAGGTGTGTTGAGGCTTGCTAACGGATAATACGGCATGACCTTGTCAAACGTGACGACGACTGAGCAGCTTGGTAACGCGCATCTATGGACAACAATGTGGTCCTCACTAACAGTTTACACGCACAGTAGCTCATCTAGCCACATACTATCGCACCAAAACAGTGACACGTATAGGTAGTGGTAGGCTGCCGTGTTATAAGCCGGGCCAGTGGCAACTACGCAACTGACGCCACCTGACCTGCATGCCACGGCGCAGATACTATTCACATGCATCTACCTCGATGGTATCTCCGTGGTATCCCTGGCGGCCGCCTGGTTGGTCGCATAACGCTGAGGGGGAGACGGCATGGCGGCGTCACGATGCGGGGTTTGGAGAGCTGCTATACCTTACACCAGCTATCATCAAAGGTATGCCTCTTTGGCACCGTGCGCCAGCAATTTACTCCATTCGGTGCCCGGGTTTGTTGGGTTCCTGCCCTCGCCACCTTCCCCTCAGGTGAGCGCACTATTTACCATCCACGTATTTTCGATGTAGTTTACGGGGCGGCTCATACGTGTCTTACCATACTATCCTGAGCTTATTGTTTTGTTTTACGCCGCACTTAATTGTCACTCAACGTTTTACTTTGTAGCCTGTTCACTCGGCATAGCGGTTTGGCTACTATGTCTATATAGGCGGCGTCACCTCAGAGGTTTCATCGCTTTAGTGTCTCCTAGTTCACCCATTAAAACGCTTTCACTATTATTTTGTACCATTAGCCTAGTGCCCATTTATTTGTGTCTTAGTGTTGAGTGCTTTTGGTAACTAGGATGACGGGGCATAAAGTTCCTCTCAACACCCTCAAGGAGTGTCTCCAGTTCCTGCTGTGGTTGCATAATAACAGTGATAAGCAACTATGGGTGGCCGCAGCACTGGAAACACAAATTAAAAACCATTTTCAATCGACATTTCTCACAACACGTAACATTCAATCCGCACTGTCTACATTTCTCCACCACGCGTCACATTTCTATACGAGGCTCTGCTACAATCCGCAGCCTTGGTCATATAAAGGGGAAAGCGCAGATAAAATAGCTGACGCCCTTCTAGAGTGTATACCCAAATTCCTCGCTGCCATCTACTATCTGTGGTATTGCGTGAATCCGAGTTTCAAAGAGCTTGGAGGCGGGGGGTGGCAGAAGGATTTCCCGGGGTGGGAAGAGAACTGGTGGTCTATGTTTAGTTACCCTGAGTATGGCGGCGATCTGCAGAGATATCTCAGATCCACTGTGAACGAAGGTAAGTACGGCAAAATCCCCGGGTTGCTACCAGGCGGGTTCGATTACAAAGAGGTTATATATTATACATTTTGGGGTTACGCCCAGGGTTATAAAATGGCTGGGGACCTACGGGCTATTTTGAAGAGAGATCCTAATAAGCATAATTTCTTCCGGGACGTATTTGTCACTTCCGTTATTGAGGACTCTGGCATTCATAAGGAGAACACTGCGAACGTTCTTGCATTGGTTAGAAGGTTTTGCGATATTGTGGGAGGAGAGTCACGTGTCGAAGGTGGCACATTAAAACAAAAATTGGAACAACGCCGTGGATTAATAACAACCCCAAAATCCATATGCTGGCCCGACCTAAAAGCGCATTGCTCTAAGCTTCGAAAACAAATTAGCAAAATATTCAGGCATAATCGCTTCTACCACACTGGGCAGGCGCCGAAAATTGAAAACCTCAAGAAAGAGGACTTTGCTCAGAAAACGGCGGATTGGATTAGAATGTATCTGAACGGAGTGCGGAAACATTTGAATGAAATCAAGGAATACACGACCGGCGATTTTGGTACACACTTCACGAAAAATCTCTTCCCCTACGGATTCACTTTTGATAGCAGAACCCGCTTTGGAATAACGGACACATATGCAAACGGTTTGGCAAAGGATTTGTCCAGTGTAATCGATGATCTTAAGAAAGGGGATGACGGATTGGATAAGCTGGTAAGAATTTTGGAAGGAACGTATGAAGGAGCATGTAAAATATCTGAGACCCTGCCTCCAAAAGCTGATAAAACTCCCAGCCAAGGTAATACGTCAGATTCGTCACCTGATGATGAGGAGGAAGATGACGACGATGAGGAAGATGTGGATGCTGAGGATCCTGGAGCACAGAACCAGGGGAAGAAATCTGAGGCAGCACAGAACCAAGGAAAGAAAGCGGACGCATCTGCAAATCCAAATAATGGCCAAAGTGGAGATGCGTCTACAGCTTTACCAGGTGGAAAGGTGTCTACAACTCCGTCTCCCGTTGGTGGAGGAGCTCCAGGCCCGCCAGGGCCTCCTGGTCCAGTGTCATCGACTTCTTCTTCGACTAAAGATACATCAGTTACGCAAGGTGTTCAGCCTCAGCAACCTCCCCAACAAACTCCACTGACTCTCCCCAGTGCCCCTGCAAGCCCTTCCCTTCCTGGTAAGTCCGGTGTAACGGTTCAGCGCTCACCCGGCAATGTTACTCCAAGTATACAACCTGGTATCACCCAAGGCAATGACCCTAGTCAGTCTCCAAGTGCATCAGGTTCAGAATCTGGGCCAACTGGTGATAAGGGAGCTGGGCAAGATGGTGGTGGAGATTCGGCAAGGGAGTTTGTCGATTTCAACGGCGAAGATATGACGGATATGTCTGACCATAACGTAAAGTGGGAACATGATGCAGACGTTCAATTAAAATCACAACAGAGTCTTTACGAAGAGAACCATCGGAAAGGCATATTCACTGGAGGTGATGCCACGGGTATCTCCAAGATTCATCAGCGATTTAGTCATCATCCAAGGATACAAGCAACAGGTTACCCGTCACTGCCGAAGAGTAAAAAAACACTGCCGTTTTATTACAAACCAGTTCGAATATCTTCTAGGTTGGACCGTGTATACCCAACAGGCATTGTCGTAACCCCGATCAAAAAAATATACCCGTCGTTACAAAGTGATGTACAAGGCGTAGTTTTGCCGCAGATTCCCGAAAGTAAAACGAAAGTTCAGCGGCACAAATTTAAACAAACAGACAGACCAATTGTTGTTGAGACGTTACATGATCAGCCTCACGTTTCTGTGGTGGATGGCAATGGCCTTGACCCTGCTATGTCTTCAAAAAGGGGCGTTAACGTCGCCATTTCCGCGAATGTCATGCCACCATTACCACGAGTTACGGTCAGCGGAGTGTCCCTTCCTAACGCTAATCGAGACCCCCCAATGCCACCTCACCCCGCCTCAAAATTTCCTAAAATGCCGGCCATCGCTACTACCAAGACAATTCCAAGCGCCAAAATCCCAGTCCACCTTGACGACCTGAATCCATCCGTGTCAGCAGCCACCGGTGAGCCTATTTCGGAACCAGATCGAACTTCTTCTATGCCACCTCTTCCCCCGATTCCTGCCAAAGTATACCCTCCTGAGACCGGTCAACTTGAAGACCAATTTACGACAAGCAGACCGAACGTCGAAGGCGCTCCGATTAAACATACCCCGACCAACGTTCCGATGGAATATGTTCCCGGTGGTTATGGTTTTGAGATGTCCGTATTATCTCAACCTATAGGTCACCCTGTTCTCGACCACAAGGTAAGACCCAGCAGACAACCCGCTTCGCCACTACACTTCGAAGGGGGGCCACCACAACAAATATTTGAGCTGGAAATCGAGAAGCCATACCACTCTGGTACGATATACGGAGGCAAAGAACATCGTAATCCTAATCGTCTCATAAACTACATTGAACAAGCCTCACCGGATAATACATATGGCGGCTCACCCCCGGCAACTCCTGATGATGACGGAAATTCCAAAGATCCTAATAACTGGGGTAAATTTCAGGATTACGCTTTTAATATGTTTCCTAACCTGAACATGTGCAGGGATGCCTGGCATTATGTCTCTCATTCTCCCACCCCTCCAACCCCCTCCCCTCCCCCAGCCTCGGATCACCTGCCCCGGCCGACAGACGTCCGGGGGATGCTCCACTGGCTGGTCGGCTTGAACCAAAATGGGTATATTGAGATTATTAAGGAACGTATTAAGAGCATTTTGAAGGACATTAACAACGATTTCTCTCAGCCTTCATATGCCCTCGAGGTCACCGTGACGCCTCCCACCAATCTGACCGCTTGCCATGTCGCCAACACTCTGACCCAGGCATCTCTCTACGCGGCCATCGTTCTCCACAAGATGAAGCATGTTAATGTGTCAAATGACATTCAGACATTTTTCAAGGACCAAGAGAATTATGCTTTTTATTATTCCCCCTGCCCTGCGTGCCTCCTCTGCCAGCTGCGGGACTACGCCTACGCCTGCTACCACCAGTTGGCGTTCCTAAAGTCGCAGTGTTCTCGGGATCAATCTCTCGGTGGCTGGCAGGATTGTGAGTACGGCAGTAATGTATCGTCTCCCAACTCTCCCCTCCAGGCCTTCCTGACTGACGCCTCCACATCCAAGTTCAAGACGTACCCCTTCGACCGCTGCAACATCTGCTGCAAGAGCCGTGTCAGGATGGGATTTGAGGAAAAGGATTTGCCTAAACCTCAGCAAACAGGAAAGGAAATTTCCACCATCCTCTCTCCCGCCTGCGGCGGCGACGATCCCTTGCTGACGTTGTGCTCTTACCTCACCTGCCTCACCAGGCGGACGCCTCGCACCACCGGGGAGCTTGTCTCCTTCTTCCACAATTTCGGGAATTCGCTTCATGATGTGTCTTCACAGCTGTCTCCACTGGGCTCCGCCCTCTCCAAGCCACATCCTCACTGCCCCGACTGGGACATCCTCGCTGCCGCCGACCTACGAGTCATCAAGGACGCCAGGGGCTCCGCCCGTCCTACCGCCATCCACGACAAGGACCATGCCGAGACCCTGTCCACGCTGCTTGGATGCAAGGTTAACAACGTCCACTGCAGTCCACATTGTTCGCCCATCACCTACCGGGCCTACGCAATCTACTCACGGAGCTTCGCCCACACCTACCTCAGCTGGACGGTGTACCTGGCAGACAGACTGTGGGAGTCACTGGAGAGGTTGATGAGAGATTTCGAGAGGCTGAAATGTAACGAGTTCAAATCACTCCACCAGTGTGACAAGGCCCAACCCCTCCTCTACACTCACGGGTTCACGCCACCAGAGGGCACATCAAAGCCGTCACTCACGTGTTCGAAGTTCATAGCCAAGGTGGAGGAAGTGGTCGCCGGTGTTCCTATCGCAAGCCTCATGACCGCCATGGACTTGTTCCTCTACGGCATCCGGGAGCCTTTCATCTACATTCTGTTCACACTCTGGCTCATCGCCACGCTCTACATCTCCCACTCACTACTATACCGCATCGACGTGTTGCACGTCCGCTCCCACCTCCTCACCATCAGGGCCTCGCACCTCATCGACGTCAAGGCGCTGCTCGCCGGAAGCCGCAGGATGCTCTCACTCTACGAGGACGTCGACTACTTCAACGACGGCCCTTTAGAGGTACTTGACATCAGATAATAATATAGCGGTTAAATATACACGTGTCGCTGTATGTCAGCCATGCGTGACCGTGACCGTGGTGTGGCACTAGCGCCTCTAAATAATTGCACAAATAGCTTAGTAATTGCCACCAATGCGACCATTAGGCCACCTATTCATAGCGCAGTTCACATACAGCCATACCGTCGTGGCCACATGTTAGGTCACACTGGTCACTCCCTTTGTCCATGGCCATATCGAACCTACGGCTGCATATTCAGATGACACAAACGGGGCTGACAATGCCACTCACGTGGCACGTCATACTCAATCAAGACTGTAAAATGAGGTTTAATAGAGGCGCAAAATTTTTACAAAGATTGCTATGCCATTTCCACAGAGGCTATTGCAGCAAGGGGCGACACATGCAACCGATGAACTGTATGGGGCCTTGTGGGTGGTGTATATTGAGCAAAAAAGCGGAGTATGAAGGCTGTGGAGACCGTGTTTCTAGCAGATAGAGCGGTATTCATATGGGAATGGAGACTGACCTAAAAGGCGTGAAGGACAAGCCAACAACATAGTTGAGTCGTGGGTGGAGTGGGGATTTAAGTATACGTTGTGATCCCAGAAGAGTACGGTTAAAGAACAAGCGAACGACTATATTAACACGTGCGTCTTAATGTAGTTTGAAGGCTGGGTTAAGACTGATGGTCCACGTCAGTGAGGGTGTCAGAGCTTGGCTGAAGAGTGTGGAGAAGAAAGATGGAAATGTTACAACGTCCTTGAATGATGCTGCAAGCGTGAGGTATGGTAACATGTCTGTTAGTATATTATGTGAGCCAATGACAGATCAGGTGGGAAAATGGGAGGGGATTGGTGGTCGGTACCTTGAAGAGGCTGTAAAGGCAGAAAAGCCGTTGGGTGGAATTGACAAAAATGTTGGAGATATGATATCGTGTAAAATATGATATTCAAAAAACATGTCGACAAATACTGGCGCCGCCGTTAATGATCCCAGGGTGAAAAAATTCAGTAAGGCAGCTGGGTGACGTGTTCACTATACACCAAGTTGAGGTGGAAAAGCAAATTGAGAGGGAAATACAGGGGATGCAGGAAACATTTAACGGCCAGTGCGACAACATTGCCACAACTATCAAACACATTGATGGCATGCAAAACCAAAAATATTGAGTCTACCACATGGGCCGCGCAAGCGGCGGAGAGGTTGGCTGAGACGCAGGTAAGGACGCGTGTGCCGTGCAAATATCGGAGGAGTGCAAAGTAATCACGGTGATGACTGTGTCGCAACTTTAAAATGATGTCCATACTAGACATACAGCAGTAGCACAGCATCGGACTTATGCGTGCCACATGGGGTAAACATGTCCATCTCAGGGAGGTGTCGGGGCCGAAGCGTCCGTCCTCCAAATGGAGGCAGGACAAGTGGAACCGTTGGAGTATCGCTAAAGCTGCGAAGCCAAGTGGACAGCTGTTATGAAGCTGTAATTGGAAATGTCAGCGAATTGAGTACAATGCGCGACCATGACGGACGCAGCACTCACGTTACAGTAATACTTAATCTAAATTGTGAGCAGCGATTATTGCATAATTATGGGCTTGGAAGTGTCAGTAAGGCACACGGTTGGCACTAGCTAAAACGTCGACATGCGCATGCTTTTGTGCTATACCCGATGACGCAGTGGATCGAGCGCCCAGCCGACGCTGCGACTCTGGGCTCCAGGCGCGGCCGCGAAAGCGGTACGCTAAACTATATGCTATATACAGTTTACAATATTGTTGTTAGTGTTAGCATGCGCAGCCGGCAGGCGACATGTTAGGGGCATCGCCTAAGGTGCCGTATAGCCGGTACGCGGGTGGCTGCCATGTGCCGGTTTAGACAGGGTGTTCAATGAAGTTCGGAGCCTTGTGAATGGAGTCAGCGGGGAAGATGGCGGAGGCAAAGAAGGCAATCGACAATCCCTGCAAATGCTATCTCATCAAATGTAAAAAGTTACAACAGGGGGAATGCACTGATCCCAAATGTTCGGACTGCAACTTGGCGAGCTGTAACCTCTTTTGTAAGAGCTGCGAGGAAAAATGCACAGAAGTGGGTCAATGCCAATGTGTCATTTGTAACTGCGGATGTGATAGAAGATGTAGTGACCGCGGAGGGAAATGTAGCAAATCGGGCAAATGTACAAGATGCCCAGAAAAATGTAAGGATCAACAACCAGGTGAAATGTGTATATGTAGCACATGTAACTGTGGATACAATGGAGTGATGTGTAGCTGCTGTAGCTGGTGCAATCCTGGCACTAAATGCCAGGGAGAGGGTAAATGCGACGGCAAGGATATACACGACGAAGGTTGCAAAGCCCACAAAGGCAGCAAAGCTGAAGAATACGATGCAGGCAAGTATCACTGCATACACCGCAATGAAGCTAGCAAATGCACAGTCAAAGATTGCGACAAGATTGAACGCATTTACCTCAGTAGCAAATGCCGCTTCAAGTGCACAAACTGCGGCAAACTGTGCCCCCAAGATGCATTTAGGCGCGGGTGCTATATAGGAGTCCCCATACTTCTAGTTTCAGTGGCAATTGTTTTCATCTGTCGTTTGTATCCGGAGAAATTCCGAAAGGTGTATTATGAGCTACGTGCTGCATTTGTTAACTCGACAAAAAGTTCCAGCGCATCCACGAATCTTGCCGGTGGAAGGATTCACGAGGAGATGGACACTGATGAATACTCCGCCTTCCCGTTTAAGGGCCTAATGTAGCTTCATATAACACACGTTGAATGGCATATCGCAACAGATGCCATTCAAATGTCGCATTAACTGTTATTGTTAATGTATCTTCCCCTTTGCCCGATTGGTGCGTTAGGTGTTGCGTGGTGGTTTACTTGTGATAGTTGTTATGGCTTAGAGGCTGAATGAGATTGACAATGTTGCTTGCTTTTTTATGTAGTTGAGAGTGTTGTCGGCGATGTTCCGTATGACAATGCTGTCACCCACAGCCATCCCACATAGCACACCTTAGCCACGGCAGATACAAAGTCATCGTGCTACCATCGACAAATAATTGTGCAAGGTGCAATGATGGTAGCAGCTTGATGTAGGCACAGTGCCAGTGTGGGCAGGTAGTGCCGTGGAAAATTGTATTAAGATGGAGATGAGGAATACATTTGGGAGACGGAGTGAAACGGAGCCGACGTAAGGAAGTGGAAGGAGGCCGACGTGAGGAAGATTAGAAGACCGAGTTAACGAGGTGAGAGACGACGCGATTTAAATGTTGGAGGAGCGGAGCGACGACAACGTGGAAAAGGAGAAGGAGCGCAGCGACGACCATATTAGATGAGGCCGAGGTAACGAGGTGAGTAATAACGCGATTTGAGGAGGCGAGCGGAGCGAAGCCGACGAATGAATGACAAAAGGAGCCGAGCTAAGCGAAGGCGACTGAGGAACAAGGATTATTTGGAGGAGCGACGACAATATAAATAGAGTTTGTAGAAGAGGAGCGGAGCGACTATAGAGAAGATAATGGAGCCGAGCGGAGCGAAGGCGACTAAGGAGGAGGAGCGTAGCGACGACGACTGAAGATAAGGCGAGTGAAGAAAGATAAGTGGAGTAGTGTAGCGAACATGGCAACATTATCTGGAGCCGAGCGCAGCGAAGCCTACTGAGGAGGGGGAGCGTAGCGACGACGACCATATTAGATGAGACCGAGGTAACGAGGTGAGAGACAACGCGATTTGAGGAGGCGTAAGCCGACGAAGGAGGAGCGTAGTGACGACAACGTGGATAAGGAGGAGGAGCTTGCGACGACGACTGAAGAAAAAGAAAAGGAGCCGAGCGTAGCGAAGGCGACGTGAGGAGGAGCGCAGCGACGACGACTGAAGAAGTAGAAAAGGAGACGGTACCAAGCGTATGAGGATGGCGGTACACCGAGTTAACGAGGTGAGTAAAAGCGCGATCTAATAGTTGGAGGAGCGCAGCGACGACAACGTGGAAAACGGAGCCGAGCGCAGCGAAGCCAACTAAGGAGGAGCGAAGCGACGACGACCTGTACAGAGATGAAGAGTAAGTAGAGTCAGGTACCAGGTAAATAGGGTGATTCAGGGACGAAGGGAAGATGAAGAAAGGAGCTGAGGGGGTAGAGTAGCGGCATACAGGGAGCGACAGCGACCGGAGGGAGAGGAGGTTGGCATGGTGAGAGAGGGGATAAAGGGATAGTGAGGGCATTCAAGGAGGCGGTTGAAGGGTGAAGAAAGGAGATCATGGAAAGTGATGGATGGTGAGAGAGCCGGTTGACTGGCATGACTGGAGTTGATTAAGGTCGGTGGGGAGAAATGGAGGCGTTGGCAGGGAGCGATAGCGACTGGAGGAAGACAGGGAGGTGAGATTAGCTAAGCAAGAGATGGGAGTGAGGGAATGTGTTAAATGAAAACTGAATGATTAATTGGTATGAAGGGAGGGATTCATGTGGCAATATAACCGAAATAGGACTAGTGAACAAATTCATAGTAAGTAAACACGCACAACAGCATGATTGAGGCACAGAAAAGCAATTAATGTAACCTAAGAAGCTAAAAGAAGCAGCGTAACGTACATAGCAACGTGAACTAGGCACTGGTAGAGAAGAATGAGGAAGGAGAGTATGTCAGGGAGTCAAACAACGCAGAAGAGGCGCAGCGTAGATAGATGGGATTAATGTGGTGGTGAGAGAAGTGTAGCCCTAGAAAAGCCGCGCGTAGAGCCCGAAACCGGCACCTGCAGCGAGAGGAGTTACACTGGAAAGTGCAAAATCGACTCCAGCTAAAGATGAACACATAGCACACTAATTAATGACAAAACAAGGATTCAGGGCGAGGTGGGAAGCGGGAAAGAGGGGCAGTGGGAAGCTGAGCAGAGGGGAGACGATGGAAGAGTCTAAGTCCAAGGAGAGTGAGTATAGAGGCCGAGGTAACGAGGCTGGTGAAGGAAGAGGCGACGTATGTAGGATGATGAAATTGGTCGATGAGTGTTGATGGGAGAC